TCTCTCAGGATTAACAATAGACTGGTTTGTTTGTTTGGGCTTAAACCTGAATCTTTCCTTTAAAGATGGTTGTGCTAACTCGTGGGGACCACACAAAGGCTTTAGTGAACAAATGTCATAAATGATGTTGGGTATTTTTATAATTGTACATTTTTGAGGCCTAAAAGATGCCCATTTTGTGTTATTAACACTTCATGAATCTCTGTGTTTGCCAACTGTGGCTGTTCATGAAAGGTTGAGCAAGGATGTTGATTGTGAAAACTCTGTACCTATGTAACCTGAGAAGGCCCCGCCTTCTCCTCCATCCTTTGAATAAAGCCCCTGACAAACTGAGAACACATGGGAGTGACGTGGGAAAAGTCTCGGAGGAGGCTTTTCCCTGCGTTAACTCTCCTTTATTTTGGGGACTCAGGGTAAAATGTCTCCCTTGTTGTCATGTGTGTTAATTTCAGGTTTCAGGGTTATGGAGATTAAATATTGCCCCACATTTAAGTACCTAACATTTTGGTGGAGAATGCGGGCATGCAGAGCTGGTGAGCTGATGGCTTTCCCCAGGAGCAGAGGGGGCCTGGTTAGCTCCATGGAGGGGTTTCTGCGCCCAGCTCTCGCATGACGATTCATGGACTTTACGAATAATCTACTCTCTCTCTGTCGTCCTTTAAGGTAATATGGGATAAATGAAAAATTACCTATCAAATGACATGAGTAATTGGAGTTGGAAACACTTTTGGAGCTTGACTTCAGCCAGGTAATTATAATTAATCAATGCCCCTGAGCCAGTATCTCACTGCCTCTGCTGGGGCACAATATTTCGAGCGCCATCAGCGAGGGAATTTCCAAATAATCTCAGAATGACCCTGGAATTATTTGCGTGACTCGCAGAGCCTCATACGCTGGCATGCAAAGGAAAAAAGGAACTCATCGTGTGTCTGGAACGTTTAGCAAACCATTCTCAGTTTAGTTTTGGGAGTCAGAAGTGTAAAATGTGTGAGAGTTCAGGGAGGGCTTGGCAACCAAACCGTTATAATCATATAATTAGGGGCGTGTTCAGGGATGGCCTGGAGCAGCAGATGCCATCTGATTGGCCACACAAGGTGCCACCCCACTGACTTCCATTTAAACTGACTTTAAATTAAACCCCAGCACAGTTAATGGTAGCATCCACCTTTAACGTTGGTTTCTAGCCCCAGGCCTACAGAACATTAGTCTGTTAATATTATATATTACCTTTTCATAATGACATAAATAGGATTTATAGTCCTGGTCCACACTCCACTCCAGTTGGTGGCGGTAATGCACCAAGAAGTTGCTTGCTAACCACCACACCAAACCTACAGTGAAGTGCACAGTAGGTTTGGAGTGTTTCTCAATGTCAAGGAACCTCGCCTTGATGCCTTTGTCCCACCCCGGTTGCCCAGGAGTTGAACGCCATCAGGAACTCCCAAGGTGTGTTCCAATCAGTTCCAACGTTTATGTGCTACGGAGGTGTCTGTCCTCCATTTGTTAGCCGTTTAGCTAACTGAGCAAGCACATGCGAGGTGCGTTGTTGCCTTCTCTTGGTCAAAAATTTCCCAGAATGCAGCATGGTAGTTTCAAAGGGATGGCGGATCAGGAGCCAGCCGCTACTTTGGGGACCAATTTCCAGTAAGTCAATGAATTGTAGCTTTCGTGCGGATATCTAAAATGTTTTTTTTAGATCCAAAGCAGTTAGCAATGGTTAGTGAGTTTCTTAGTAGTTGTAGCTTGTGTGGCTAGCAGGCAGTAACTTGCTTACATATAACCAACGTATACACAATTAAAAAAGTAAATATAACTTTACCTCATGTGTCACGTGACATGACTGTTGCAGGAGCCGTGGTCACGTGAGGTAAGTCTGTTCTGTTTAACCATTTCCTTTGACCAAGGAAGGGCAGTGTCCTTGTAAGAGAGGCACCTTACCTTAGGCAAGGCGAGGTTCCTTGACACTGAAAGATCCTTGAAGTGCATAGAGATGAAGACAAAGAAGAAGAAGAGATGCACTGGAATAAAAATATTAATTATTTTGTGAGTGGTGACCATTTTCTACATAAAAAGCATAACTATAGGTGCCACCTATGCTTATACAAGTCCCCCACCGGGGCCACCCCATTTTAAAAGGCCTGGACACGCCACTGCTTATAATGTTTGAAGTAAGTGAAATTCAAATGTTTTTCAGTTTTGTGTCTACAACTGTAGACCAGCTCAGTTGCTGGCTTTTAGAGCCACGGGCACACCGAGACAATCTCTTACATCAGCTCTTACTGTGTCTCACTGATGAAAGAAACCCCTACGGCTGGAATACGACCATAATTTTCTCTCCATCTTTACAACCCGACTGTTCTCTTTGTTGTCCTCCCTGGGGATAACAACGCTGACTTTTTCCTAAAAAAAGGAAAACAAATCTGAGCTCTAGTCTTCATCAGACCTCCTGCTTAACGGGCTACTCCACTTTTCAATGCACCTCCCACTGCTGACAGCAGATTGTTCACCGTTTTTCTTCACCGTGTCACTCTGCTGGATACACACATCTGAAGAAGAAAATATAATTTCTATAGCGCCTCTCAAGATAAAAATCATGAGGCGCTTGATCTGGCTCACCAACCTAAAAGCTGCTGATGGTGATGATTTTAGGGATAATTGACTTGTTTACTGATATCCAATATACCGATGTTATTGACTGATTTTAAGGCCGATATCGGCTGATATTAATTTTAGACTGATAATATTGAACATCCATACTAATTTAGTAAAAATATCCCTTTGACCTTACAAAGATAGACAGATTTCCTGATTTATGCTAAATATTACATCATTTGGGTGTTTTACTAGTTACAATAAACAGTCTTCAGGGGGTTTGGGGCTGGTGATCAAATAAAATTGGCAGGTTGATCAAGTCAATATAGATGTGACAGTGTGAGCATCCTGTCACTGTGACCCGATTGATCATGCGCCCTGGCTACTTGGCCAAGGGGACGTCCATTTGGCTGACTGGTTAGCGCGCATGACTCTGAGAAGAAGATGTGTTGCACTGCATGAGGCAAATGGTGGTCACACCAGATACTGACCAGTTCTGAGTCCCCAGATCCCCAATAAAGCAAAAAATGCACATTCCAGGGTGGCCTTTTATTGTGGGCAGTATAAGGTACACCTGTGCACTATTCATGATGTCGGATCAGCATCTTGATGTGGCACACCTGTGAGGTGGGCTGGATTATCTCAGCAAAGCAGAAGTGCTCACTATCACACATTTAGACTGATTTGTGAACAATGTTTGAGAGAAATAGTAATATTGTGTATCTGGAATGAATTTTAGATCTTTAAGTCCATCTCATGAAAAATCAAAGCAGAAACAAAGGTGTTGCGTTTATATTTTTGTTGAGTGTGTGTGTGTGTGTGTGTGTGTGTGTATATATATATATATATATATATATATATATATATATATATATACTTTTTTTACACCTTATAGATTATTGTGCTTAAATGTTTCCCACTGCAAATTTCTCTCACAAGCTCTGTGTGACATAATTTTGTGTAATGCAGTGATGCATACTGGGTGCTAATGGAGCCATTAGTGTGTGTCTGTTTTTTTTATTGTAGCAGCACTGCGATGGAAATTATTTGAGAGCAGAATAATTTTCAGTGGGTGTGGGAATGAACCAGGGGAAGCACTTTCTCCTGACAGTAATTCAAAGCCATTACGTGCGACCCCCTGATGGTTTCTCATATCACTGTGAATTGTCAGAGGATGCTGAGAGGAGCATGGTTTCTGAGTCAATGGAGTTTCCAAACACAACATGTGGGTTTCTATAAAATGTACAGTCTAAACCTTTCACGTGTGAATTGTGACAGCCTCGGTCAGATTTACATAGTCAGTGTTTCTATTCTTGTCTGAGGTTGTGCAAGTTCAGACCATAGGTATATAAATTGCCCTACATACAGTAAGAACCCTATAAATCAGCTTTTCTGAGCATTTCATTAAACTCCAGCCAGTGGTTCGTTAAATGTTTTGCTGAAATTGGGGGGGGGACACGCCCACTTCTCATCATTACGCAGCAACTTTTGAACATTCTGTCTTTATGCAGACTAATTTATAATTGGTAAAGCATAAAAAAGATGAGTTGCTAAGAATATTTCTTTATTTGAAACAATCAAAAACAGCTAAATACAACACAAGCAGCTAAAACAATTAAAGTTTCATCATCAGCATATTTTACATTTTATTAAGCGTATCATTACAGGGACAATTAGTTTAAAAGTTCTATTAATTTCATAATAATCGGATGTCCCTGTTTGCCCATTTATGGACACACCCACTTTTCAGTCAAATACTCAAATATTCATTTAAAGGCAGAATGTATTCACGTGTGAAGGTGGAGCATATGTATTTATTTACAAGGCTCCAGTTGATTAAATTACTATTTATAAATCAAACTGCTGGGCTGTCTTGAAAATAAGATTTAGCCAGCATATAAAGAGCAAATAAAATAAATGCATAAAATTCTATTTGTAGAAATCTAAAACTTTGTTATGAATGAAAAGAAAGCATCTGAATGGACAAATGTAACGACTTGGGAATGATAAATGTTTCATATCTAACACATTATTTGCAATTAGTTCTTTATTTGGTTGTAGAAAAAAGTTAATATCCACACATTTCAGTTGCCTCTGCTGATTATTATCTTTTCAAGCCATGATGGTGTTTCCAGAGTTTCTTATCGTCCTCTTTTCTTTTTGCAGCACATCAGCTTATGGCACTCACATGCCTTAAAACTGATTTTAGAGAGCTTTAGATGTTTTAGTCAGTCTAAAATACAAAAATAATGATTAAAAAATCGAGTACTTTTAATTCTTAATAAAATGTAATATTAATAGAGAAATTCCCCTTCAGGAAACACGCGAATGGGTTGACTTTGCCCCCCCACCCCACCCCCGCACGCAGGGAAATAGCTGCTTTCTGATTGGCTCGTGCTTGATGGGTCTTAATTATTCGCGTCGCGCGCAGGTGACTCCTAAGTGCGCACAAGAGCCTCTTCAAAGCGGCGATGTCTTGCAAGTTAAAAGCGAGAATAAGTGTGTTTGTTTTAGTCATCCCATGTTATTTTTATACATTTCAGCTTTGCTATTCCGTAAGTTTAGGGCGGAGGAAAGATGGCTCGTCCTCTGACCGAGCTGACCCGACCGGGTGGGACGACCGCCGACTGCAGCCACCGTCCCACGCTGTGGTCCAACAGGTGACGTGGAACCCCAACCCCGGTCTGCCTGGACTATTGGAGGCTTGGGATGGGTTTTCCGCTGCTGGTCACACGCGCACACACGTCGGCGAGCCAGAACCAGATCAAACTGGTGACAACTTCACGCTTAACAGCAGGACTTGGACGCTTGGCGAGGTCTGGGCGGAGGAAAGGGCGTCGGCGCCACACTTTGAAGATGGATATCAAGCAGACTTTGCAGGTCAAGGAGTAACTAGCCTTTGCGTTGTTGTGACGCACTCTTTATTTTATTGTTGCACGTTTATCTGGCCCAGAGAGCTGCGAGGACATGGACACTGCAGTGTGTTGGTGGTGGTGGTCGGGTTGCATTCTGGGTAATGTAGGCTGTACCATGAAAAGGTCATTTTATGAATGGTTATTTTCTCCACTAGGTTTTTCTGAGGTTCAGGGGAAGGTTGAGGGCCTGTCGCCTGATTCCAGCCCATACTTCTCAGACTGGGAAGTGATGAGCCCTCTGGTGGATTGCGGTGATGACGACATGACTTTGACTGCTTCTGGTCCAGGATTTATGCACCTGCAAGTGGACAGAAGTACGTTTATCCGTGTGAACTGGCTTTTTAAGAGAAAAGCGTTGGTTTAATTTAAAAAGGCTTATTTATGATTGCTGTCATACCCCTAATGCTTGAAACTTTTCTAAATCCAGGGTTTCATGCAACTGTCGTGCAATTAGATGAGCTTTTAATTACAGTTGCATACAATCACCTCAAATCAGATGTGATGTGATCTGAAATGATAAAAGATCTAAAGTAAAAAACCGTCACACACAAAAATACTTCGCTCTCTTTCACACACATGTTCAGAGCAAATATTTTTTAATGAGAACTTGAAGATGACCTTAAAATGAATTGATTACGATATGGTAAAATACATCGATGTGAAAGTACCATTTCAGTTGTGAAATGACCCCAAAAAAATTCAAGTGAGCAATTTTCACAGCTCCTTTTTTTTCCCCTTCCAGGAAGCAACTCTCCCCTCTCCATCTTCCAGCTGCCTTCCTTCTGTGGTTACTCGGTGAAGGCATCATGGAGTGATTTGGAGATGATTGTGCCGTATGACGGATGCTACATTCTCCAGGAGGTCTCCTCACCACCTGTTATCTTTGACTGTAGTATTCCTGTGACTTTGTGCCAGCTGGTGCTAATTTTACTCCATCTCTTACCAGAATGGTAGTTATGTGCTACCCATGCTGTGGTTGGGATCCCCGTTGAAGCTGTCCTGCCCGATGATGTCTGCAGGTCCCCCCCTGCACTCCATGGATGTCCCATCTGTCTTCTGCTCCAGCTACGGCATGGCAGTTCAGATTCAGGGACAGGAGCATGATCTGCCACTGATGGGTGTTGTTGGTATGCCTTCTGCTTTTTGTTGAAATAAACAGGAAATTCTGATGCACAAAATCACATTAGAAAAGTTATTTAGGCTGTTTTTTAGCCCCCATGAAGTCAGAATCTATATTTAGTGTTTAGGATAACTGGGGAGAAAATCAAAGGTCTCATATTAACGTTTATGAAAGGAGATCTTATTGCATAGATGTGTATTTAAACAGGAGTAATTCTCTTATTGCTTCAAATTTATCAGGGTTGTCAGTAGGGCTGGGCGATATGGCCTCAAATCTATATTGCGATATATAATCTGAAGCATGTGAGGTAATGATATATTGCAATATTTTCCCCCCTCTGTTTATACATGTAAAAATGACATGATTTTAAGGCCTAGTCCACATGTAGCCGGGTTTTTTAAAAAACGAATATCCGCCCCTCCAAAAATTTGCATCCACACCACCTCGTTCTGTCCACACGTACCCGGATAAATACGTTGTTAAGGACATGCCAGACCTGTAGGCGGCAGTACTTCCCCCGTTCTTAACCTCGTCCTTCATCTGTGGTCTTCCGCAAGGAGCAGTAATTCCACTTGCAATAACAAACAAGCAAAAAGCGCTTGGACAATTGATAAAGCGAGCGCAGCTCTGAGGGCATCCATGCTGTCGGCTAGTGTAAACACAGGTCGCACACGTGATGTCAGCATTTTTGTGTCGCGGAAAGTGACGTTGCGGACCTTAAAACTCCGGTTTTGTCTGTCCACACGCAGACACCCAAAACGGAGAAAACGCAGATCTTCACTTTGGCCGGAGTTTTTAAAAAGATCTGTTTTCATGTGAAAAAACTTCGTTTTCGTGTGGATGACAGGCCAAAACGTAGAAAAATATCTACGTTTTGGCAGATCCCCGGCTACGTGTGGACAGGGCCTAAATAATCTCATGTGGCAAATATATGCCTCTTGAGGCATGTAGGCCTCCTCCTCCGCCCACTCCATGCTTGCAGTCACTGCCATTCTGTTGTCCCGATGTCAGCAGGGTGCACATCTTAAGCTGTTTTTGTAGGACCATCGCGTTTTTAAAACTGGATTTGCCCTGGCACCCTGAGGAGGGTTTTGGCATCTATAGTAGCAAATCTGAAGCTAGAATGAACTGCCATCAGACACCTCTCCAACCAAGACGGGATAAGGAGAGGTCGCTGGACGGCCCCCCCGCATGTGACGTACAGGGTCGCGCATTCAGCGTCAGACGGAAGACAAGTCAGACTGATGAAATTTCTTTTCAGGACCTTAAGCTTTGATGTGACCTGCTTTTTGTCCCGCTTGACGCCCCACTCAGCCAGTGTTTTCACCACTCTGTCAAACAGCTGGCTGTCTCTCACCGTCCCCGTAAAAAGGCGACTAATCTGTTCGTCCGCTCGCTCGGCCAAAAGCTCCATGGTCTCCGCGTGCGTCCAGCTGGCTTTCCTTCCGACTGGCATCCGGCGCGCAGTACACGTGACTTAACGCAACCACCCTCTTTTGCGGGGGGGGCCTCCCACAGTCGCTCCAAAGAGATTAGCGGGGCTGAAAAGCGTTTAGTCGTCAGAGGCGAGGGGCTGATGCAGCAATATTACTACCAAGTGAGGCGGAACAAATGCTGCAATATTCGCGCAACTCCATGCCGGCATGGCGCATTTCTAGACATACCATTGCGGTAATATTACGTTGATATGCCTGCATGGTGTGTCCTATAAAAGCACCATTAGTGACATCATGTATTATCACGATATGGCGGTATTGCGATATAGCCAAAAACGCTCATCATTACCCAATTTTATATAGTTTCTGCCTTATATCGTTTATATTGCCCACCCCTAGTTGTCAAACAAGGTTTTGCCTTTTTAGATTGCCGAATGCTCTGATTGAGGTTCTTGAAGCTAATGTTTGAATTAAATGTTTTTATTACCCAAATACCTTTTTTAACTTCATCGTAATTGGTGTTATGAGAGTTTATCCCAGAGGGTGATATTCCTAAACGTCATAAACATACAGGCAATCGTCATTTACTAAAGCAGTCTACTTGGACCAGCTCAAACTGGTTACAAGCCTCAATAACGGCTCAAGCCTCAGGTGTCTGTTACTGACTGGATTGATTACAGAAATGTGGTGTACCATGTCTCTTGCAGTGAATGGAGCAAGAGGTCCATTTGTTTCTGAAATGTGTGCACTCCAGGTTGATTCCCAACCTCAGGAGTTTATGTTCCTCATCGCCCACAGTGCTCCGTGTCTCATTGCTGATGTAAGTACTGCCGCTTAAAGAACCTTGGCGGCGTTGGACCGGTCCACTCTAATCGCTGTAGTGCATCATATTGAATGACCAAAGTTCATCACTGATTTCCAGACTCGTAGAAAATGCTAAGATTGTGTTATTGTTTCGATTTATCAGATGTTAAGTGGTTCGTCTCTTCTGCCTGAGGTGCAGAACTTTAATTATTAGGAGGATGTTGAGTCAACTGATTTTAATGCCTGTTTTAAAGCCTAAAGCATGTTCAGTTCATTTGTCGTTTTCTGTTTATTGCTAAGTACATTTTCATTTAGGTTTGAGTCTAAAGTATATTGGAAGCTGTTAAAATGTTTTGTCCATAACCCAGTGACTACATGGTGCAGCCCTGTTCTGTATACCAGGTAATTGGAGAACCAAGTGTCCGAGTCAAAACTAGCACCAGGTCTCTACAGGTGCCTGAAATCCTTGGACTTGAGTTCTGAAGCATTTCCTTGGTTTGGAAAGTTCTGGGACTGCTGGCAGGGTTCTTGAAAATGTAACGGGACAGTAACTTTCACTTTGAGATGAAGGAAGTGAAGTCATTCTTCTGAGTGAATGAATACACTCCGTGCATGGGTGAATCATAACCTTAAGCCTGAATTAGATTTTTGTGTAGGTGCAAGAACCCAGTACTAAAACCTTGTCTACCATGTTACTGTTAAACGGTGGACATGTGGTGCAGGGCTGCAGGGAAATGGTGGTTTAAAAAGTGGAAATGCTGTTTAGGCTACGATGTGACTGAGTGGTGCACGTATCGGGTTTGTTAAAACAAAAAATGAGACTTGTTTTATGTTCACAGGATAACCTGCAACTTCAGCTGTTATTGGATGATCACCACTATGTGCTCTCCTGCCCATTCACTCCTCAATTTCCCAGTGTTCCCACTCTTTCTTCTGGCCACCCACCAGATCCCATCAAACCCAGTCTAACCCCCCCTCTTTCTCCCCCATCTCAGACTTCTGATGTTTACCTCTCCCCAGGATCCCAGCTCCAGCCCTTCCAGCATCCTTCTGGATCTGAGAAGTTGCCCTCTTTTGGTAACCAGCTGCATTACCCTCTTCCCCCTAATCCTTTTGAAAACACTGATCATGTTTTTAAATGGCCTGATCAGCCTCCTCAGCATCCATATGTTCTTAATTATCCTCATGTTCCAGTCTATTACATAGCATCAGCTCCAAAAGCTGAAGATGTCCGACACCCAGCAGCTTCTCATTATATTCCATACTACCCTCCTGAAACCACTGCTGCACCAGTAACCCAGCCTCCACCGTCCCCTCCACCAAATCAACCCATGGGTTATCCGTCCCAAACCAGTCCAGTTCATCCTCCTGTACCCCCCTACCATGAGACGGCTTTCTATTCTACTGCTGCTCCACCACCCGTTCCCACCTCTAATGCTCCAGAATACCCCCCCAAACAGTTTTATCTCCCCCCCTACTTTCAGCTGCCTACAGGTGTGTCACCTCCCAGGGAGGAGCCTCGGGAACCACCAGGCTACCATCCTCACCCCTTACCACAATACCAGGTCCCCTATCTGTCTTTACCTCGCTATCCGAACATCCAGCCTCCACCAAAGAGAACTCCCTACACTATGAGCACACCCCCAGACTGGCTCACGGCTCACTCTCCACGTCTCAAGTGTCTGAAAGAGAGGATGATGGTGTTTCTGCCGTTCGCTGACCCGCAGTCCCTACAAGTCAGAGGTCAGGCTTTCTGTCCCCTCAGTGGACTTGGGTTTTCTTTTCTCATGAGATCATGAAGTTAAACACTAAATGCCTCTTTTAGTTTAGGCTAAATAACCATGTTTTCTAATCGTAAATTATCCTAATCTTTGGCCCGTTTCATTGGCACTCTGGAGTAACTCGGAACTTGTTTTCCAAATGGAACAAGTTTGTGAACATTTAAGAGCTTCAGATCTAAAGGTTAATGCAGGACTTATTTTTTTCTTCCACTAATAACATTTTAGACTCGCTTTATTGCTGAGCTCTGTTGTGGTTTATTATTAATAAAATGTGACAATCACCTTGAATTTGAATATTACTTATTAGAAGTTATAATGAAAGTGTTCCAAATTGGTAACCTGATCTCACCAAATACATAGTGTAACTGAATAAAAGTACTTTTGCATAACTAGAACACCCACCACCACAATCAGCATGCACTCATAATTCAGACGGTTAGAACAACTTAAGAGTGGACTTCCTGTCCTGGCCAAGGAATCCCGAAGTTCCTGCTGATGATTGATCTTTACGTTGGCACGGGCGGTATGACTGACAAGTGAAGAGTGAATGAAAACTCGCTGCTGCTTCTCGTGAACAGGGCATGCCATTTGTAACTTCAGCATCTCCAGACCGCTGCCCTGATGTCTCAAAGTCTCACTTTATGGCAACCACAGAACAGAAGAGCTACACCTGGTTAGCATTTATTGTAATGTATTTATCATGGTGGAGCCTCAGACTAAACAAATCATTTACTGATGAAGCTGAAAAACGTGAAAGCCTGACCAAAATAGGAGTCAGCTGAGTCAACATTGGGAAGTTTTCTTAAAGCTTCTTTCTGGAGTATTTCTCTTATTCGATGGCACCATCTAGTGGCTGACAAGCATATCACTCTCCCATCTGTGTTTTTAAGGTGGCGTCTTCACGTTTCTGTTAAGTGTGCTTCTGTAGCCGACAAACGGAGCTAAAACACGTTGTTTTACGAGTATTATTCTCATGTCATGTTGTGTTCTCATATATTTATATTTTAGACTTACTTGTCCGTGAAAAGTTCATGAACTCTGAATCGGCCAAGGTACTTCCTTAAATTTGAAGCATGTAAGCGGTAGTCCAACGCTATTGGTTGGTTCTGGTCGGCGCACAGTTTCCTATTGCACAGAGCTCTGCGGGGCAGGGGGCGTGCTTAGCGAGACAAAAAGATGTATCGCTGACGGATCACACAGTACATAAGATGATCACTTTTACGGATATCTGACAAATCATACATTATTCCTGAAAGGGGAAAACTCCGGAAAGCTGCTTTAATCGTGAGAGCTCTGACACGATTCCTGCATGTTTTAGTGCGTGAACACAGCTGATTTGTTTTTAGTGATGAATCTCTCCTGTTGAAACTAATGAAGGCTGAGGAGACATTTCAGCTGTTGAATTAAGGTGTTAAAAACACGAACGCACAGCAAGGAGTTTCATTTTCATTTTTATGACTGTTAAATAAAGTGGACACTAGGTGGTGCTAATTGCGAACAAAAACTGCTAAATTCCCCTTTTAAAAAATGTTCAAAATTATGCATAGAAGATGCTAATTAGAGGTTTTGTAGTGCTTAAAATGATTCCTAGCCTACCTCCTGACTCTGCTCTCAGAACTTGACAGATATCGGTGTGAGCGTCCCGTCACTGACCTGACCATGTGCCCTGGCTACTTGGCCAAGGGGATGTCCCTTTGGCTGACTGGTTAGTGCGCGTGACTCTCACCCGAGAGTCTGGGGACTGAATCCTGCCTGGGCCCTCGTTTCTCCACCTTGCCACATTAGCAATTACAAACATTTTGATTACAGCAGAAACTCAAAATAAGACACTTGATTGTTTTGTCCTGCAAAGCAAACTCAAGTAATTCAAAAGCTGCCTCCCTACTCCAGCCTTCCTCTGGGGTAAGTTTATTATACCATAAACCCCACAAACTGAAGTAAGCATTTGTGTAGACTGCTTCTTGAACGACCAGTTGGTGCTCAGTTCTATGTTAAATTCACCAGAGATGGTTTTAATTTTAAAGATTTTTCAGAGGAAATTTTAAAACTAATTAGCTCAAAATTTTCATGCACAGAAAAAACGAGCATCATGGCTAAAGAACTCTGTTCATCTGGTCTTGATTTCAAACATTCTTTAATGTGGCTGTGGTATTGAGGTAGCTTTTACAAATATGTTACAAAAACAAAATTACCATTTCATGTTTTTATTTTATTTTTATTTTACCTCAGACAACCTGAACACATGGCAGTTCCTGTCCAGTGTCCCCCCCCAGTGTGGTTACATGCTGCAGAGGACTGCAGGCTATGGGTTAGTCCTGCAGTCTCCTCTGCCTTCCTGCCACAGTCTGCTACAGGTAAGAGTGTGTATGTGTTTACATGCATCTTGTGAATTTATGCAATTCTAAATGCTGTGTTTCATAAATGTTTGATTTTCCTCAATAAGTGTAAAATCATCCTCTGATTCAAATGCAGCTGCATGGCAGTGCAAATCAGATGATCATAAGAGATGGTTGTATAGAAATACTTCATTAATCCTCAGAGGGGAAATTCAGATGTGGAGTAGCACAGGTGGCATAAATAAACAACCAAGATGAACGATGTCCTGAAGACCGAACAGACATCCACAAGTAGTGCTGTAAACCTACTCAGCACGCTAAAAACGTAGTATTAGTGTAATAGCTGTGGGTCCGACAGATCTTGGCTTCATTCTGAAGTACAGTTGCGAAGAGCGACTGCTCTTCTGCCCCATCAGGAGGCCATGAGGCAGATGCCACTTCTCATGATAGTCTGCAGCTTGTTTAGTAACAGTAAAGGGTTTTACTTCATAGCTATAATTATCACTTAAGTGGAGAAGGACTCAAAGTGGATCAGATATGCAGCATGTTTGATTTCATTGTTTGAAGGATCCTTTGAAGCTGACGCTTTGTTTTAAAACCTAAAAAGGTTGTCCAGTAAAGCTGAAAACGAGCCAAGGCTGCTGATACTTGCAGTTTGCATGATTAGATCTGCCTGTAAGTAGAACATAGAGCAGCAGCTCATGTTTGAGATGGATCCCACCTGGACAATCAGAAGCATCGGTGATGCCTGCATCTGTGCAAGGTGGAGTGTTTTCTGCTCTTGTGTTGGTCAGCGATGAGAATTCAGTGTTCTTTTCAGATGAGATAAGTTCACACACTTTATTTTTAAATGCAGGAGATGGAAACTGTGTGGTTGCCCTTGGTGAATTTATTTTCATATTGATTTTCTCTTTCCTTAGACTCCTACAACCATTTCCTCACTCATAAAGTATTGGGACTTCTCAGTTGGGCAGAATCGGACTCTGGATCTGCTATGTCCATATCAGAGTGCCCCTGAAACTCCAGCTCCAGTGGTTTCAGTCAAACACCCGACCCCGCCAAGCCCCTCCATCAGCCCGCCAGTTTCAAGAACGGAGGTCTTCTGCTCTTTCCAGCATATGAAAGTAGTGCTTCCCCCTGGTCCCACTAAAGAAATCTTTCTTAAAGGTACGATGGTGTCGAAGTAGCTACAAGGTGTAAACTGTGAGCTGCAACGGGGCAAATGCCCAAATGACCGTCGGCAAGTTCTGCGGCCCAGTGCTCCTAATGTAGTCCTGCACACAAAGTATGATTGCTAGCATTAGACTCCCTTTAAGCTAACTCTCTACATGAAGAAAGACGTGAATATTGTAGTTTTATCTGTAGAATAATGTCAACCAGCTGTTAAAGAAACATCGCTTTATTCCAAGCTTTGCTACAAAATAGGGCTGCACGATATTAGGAAAACCTGCGATATTCAATAACAGTGCTTAATATTGCGATATCGATGTTACTCACGATAAATGAACAAATACTAAAGTATGCAGTGTTGATGCTCCGATGTCGGCGCGTGGAGGAAGTGGTGATGCCTAAAACAAGAGCGGTGGCTGGCAAACATCTCAACCTTCGAATGGAGACAGCCGAGCAGCGCGGGGCAGCTCTTCCATGAGGGTCTACGTAAACGGACCCATCTGATTGGCCACATATCAGAAGGGCTACATTTGATTGGTCATATAATACTTCCGCGTAAAAAAACAGAGCTGGTTTACAAAAAGTTGATGTATGACACGGATGGAAATGTTTGAACCAAACATTTCCGTCGTTTTTGACGTGCTTTGCGATGGGCCTATCGCACGTCCTGTTATCGCGATGACGATAACTTTTTGATATATTGTGCAGCCCTACTACAAAAACATTAACCCTCAAACGTAAACCAGTTAGCTCATGCTGCAGTAGCTGAGTGAGTCACACAGGACACCTTTTTAATATAAAGCAAAAGCTTTAGTCTTTTTAAGTTTAAGCATGGTTTACTAATCATTTGTTTACTCTTTTAAAATGAGTATTTTCCCAAACCGCACAAGTGTTTTTGATTTAATGGTTCCTGGTCAGATTTGAAATCGCACACACGTTCTGTTGAACCAAGCGGTTTTGGTATTATAAGGTTAGTCTTGTGTGGAGACCGCGTGTTGAGCTGCTTGGTGGTTTTAATGCTTCACTCTTCCTGTAAAGCTGTACTCTTTAAAACAACAAAACTACAGATGAGTTTTATTTCAGACATCAAGGGGAATCTGATGAACCTCCTTGAAGCTCCAAAGGATTGTGGGTATTATCCAAGCGAGGGCAAGGATGGCAGAATCCATTTGTTCCTGCAGCTGCATTCCCACTGTCAAATGAGCGTCCAGGCATGTATTGACATCCACACTGAGCATGTGACCTTTTGTATTAGCAGTTATTTTATGTACAGGCCACTCTTCTTCTGTTCCTCTAAAAGGGTGAAAAGTACGTTGTCAGTGTGATCTACATGACCGACGGTGGGAAAAAGGAGGCTCAGGTTTCCTGTCCAGTTGTAACTCCAAGGTCTGAGCAAGGTAGGAGTTCAGCTCGCTAAAAAGATGTTTTTCTGTCCAGTCCTGTCAGTTATTTCAACGGTGTGTCTGACATTTGTCATGCTGCCCCTCAGAGTGCAACCTTCCTAGTGAATATCGCCTCCCCTGTGGATCCAGCTCCATATCCCAGACACAGTGCCTCTCCATGGGCTGCTGCTTCAACAAGCACCCCCCTGCCTGCTACTACCCCATGGATGGTGAGCTACTCCCTGTATCCCTACTGGCATTTTCACGCCACTTAGCTAAGTGCAGTTGAGGACATAGAAGTAAGTACTCCAGCTGCTGGGTGTGTGAAGAAGCATATTCGGGGTCAGCACAGCGTGATTGAAGCTGGCACTGACACAGAATATGAAAAGGCTGTAGGAATCTTAGCGCTCATTATCAATGGATTTCTGACCTTTTGTTCATGTGACCTTTCTGTATCTGTTTGTGTGTTTGAATCACCTTTCAGAGTGCACTATTGACCGCCACATGATCTTCTCCGTGCCTGCCTCCCTCACCGACCCCCCTCTCTCTCCTGCTCTGCTTGTTGCTGCAAACAACGCCACCTGCAAACCTCTGAGAGCGACCACCAAGTACGCCCTGTTCAATATCCCAATGGATGGCTGTGGGACACGCAGAGTGGTGAGATGGAAACACAAGTTTGAACCCAAAACAAAGGATCTGCTTATTGAATTTTCTCATAAAATTACCCAAACTTTATTTCCTAAATACAAAACTTTTAGCCTGGGCAGAAATGGCAACCCTTTATTTACACATTAAAGGGGCATTATGGAAGTTTGACAGCCAAAACATGTATAGAAATAATAAATGTCTTCTTCATACATTCTCCTGCAATGCCCTGGTCCTGTAGAATGAGCCCTGGCATTTTTACTGTGATTGCCTGTTTTTTGTAAAATCACAGAAAAAGAGAGCTGCTCGGGTCGAGCAGGCTGCTTCATGCGCGTTCACGCTCAGGCATAGCCCTCCAAACCGTTCTTACATGGTACAGATACAAGTGATGTCACTGGCGCGTTAGCTCGCCTAGTTAGACATCGGTCTTTCGTGCGGAAGACCCGGGTTCGTTCTAGATGAGAATATAGTTTATTTAGAGTTTCTTTTTTACATTAATGGTATATTTTTTTTACAGTAAGATGCCCAAATTTTTATTTGACACTCGCCGAACGGCATTGAATTGACAGATAAAAAAGATGTGGGTTCAACTTTCATTTTGGAACTTTCAAGCAAGGGAAGGGAATGATCTGAGCATGCAGGAGGACTGACCCATCATAAACCTTTGTCGGCTGTGCTGAAGAGAAAGGTACAGAACCAAATTATTGAATTAATTAGCTGTGCATGCTCCTGTCCTCTGTCCTCCGGGCCACACACACACACACACACACACACGAAGCTGACTGTCTCAGCCGTTATTTGAGTTAAGGAGTGTGCACGTACAGCATGCGCTCCTCGTGCACGAGCCTACTATTGAAGCTGCCGTTACGCTTTTGGTCTGAGGGGGCAATCGCGAGCATAAAAATTCAAAACTCTGTAAAGTCCCTTTAAACTAACCTAATAAAAACTAGGACTTATACAATTTTTCAAACATTGACAGCCAGAAGCCCCATCTAAATGTTTTATTTAAACATCTAAAACTGCTTTACTTAGTCAGTCTGGAACCAGCCCTAGTGTCGTATTGGGAATAAAATTATTAGATTTATGTGGTTTTACCCTGGGAACTCTCCTATACAAAAAAAAAACACCCCGTGAGAATTCTAACTGAGCCAATCAGTGCTGAGTAGCGTACGCCACACACCATAATGCCAAGTTTGTCATAAACATGGCGACTGAAGCGGAGTTTGCTGCGGCTCTTTCCTCTGGTCTAAATGATTTGAATGTCTGTAAAACGAGTAAAAGCGCTAAAAGCCTTTCTGCTTAAGAAAGATGTTTGCGCTGTCGCCAGACGCCATCTTTGACTACAGCTAAAAAAAACTACAGCGTTGCGGACATCACACACAGCGACGCGGCGTTCGCTGTGGCTCTTTCCTCTGTTCTAAATGACTTGCATGTCTTTAAAACCACAACAAGTAGAGGCGCTAAAAGCCTTCTAAAATAAATAAATGTTTGTTCTGTTGCCAGACGCCTTTTATTATTTTTTTACTACGTACAGTCCGTCTTCTTTTTATGACTGGTTATTTTTGAGCGGCCTAGTCCCGCCCCTCATGTGCCTCTGCCTTTGAGTTACCAGACTCTCTCTGTGCAGAATTAAACCGAGGACAAGTCTGGCAGGCCAGGCTAGTAGCTCATCCCCACCAGCGTATGAACGTGTGTGTGAATGGGTGAATGACTGTGTGTGAAGTGTCTTGGGAGGTTATAGAACCCTAAGAAGTCGCTATACAATAACAGGCCATTTACCATATTTTTACTATTTAAAGTGGTTGTTGTAACCAAATTTTACTGCAGGATGTCACTTTTACTTTTCTACTTATTGCACCTTTAAAGAACGGCTGTATAAACTTCCTGTACGTCTTTGTCCTCAGTGAGATTTGGGTGCAGCTTTTATTGCCGTCCTAAAACATTTCCCTAAAACTTTGTGTTAATATTTTGGCTGTCTGAAACAAGTCCAGGTCATTACTGGGTTAACGGCTGTCCTTGACGACATGTGGCAATCTGATGTGTGATTCTGCGCCAGTCACAGGCTTCTTGCATGTTGATGCTGTGTCATGTCTTTTTCTGACCTGTTGTACAGTTAGTCTTTTAGGATTTGACACTAAGCAAAAATGAAGACGGGAAACCACTCTGTGGTTGAGGTTGCTGGGCTTGTAAACATGATGGTGGTGTTTATCATTTATTATTTAAAACCCTTTTTAAGGATTTGTTAATGAATCACAGCATAACTCATGTTTTATTCCCACAACAAACACCACCTGATATCTGATATTGAATATATTCTGTATGCCGACAGGTTCTGGGGAAGACGGTGGTCTATATGCTGGAGATCACCAACGTGGTGCAAACTGTCAGCCTCAACTATGGCACCATCACTAGGGATTCTCCTGTCAGGTCAGCTCATGCTCTGTCCATGTAACCACGGTAACGCACTGAGTTGTGTTGCAGCCCACGCTGAGATTCTGCTGCTCAGTTTGACCTCGTGCTGCTCGGCACACTTCACCTTTTATAATGGCGTTTCCAGTAAAGAACTGGGTTTAACAGACGTACAAACTTTAAATTTGGTAAGAACATCAACAGGCTGAGCTCTATAGGACAATGTTTAATTTACTGTGGAGAATCTCGCATGATACCTCATTCGTGAAAACTGCTGAATGCATCATGAGTATCTGGACTTAAATCTTCTTTTATTGTCTCCAGTCAGAATGGTTAGGTAAGAGAGCAGCCTTGAACCCATAAGAGCCGTGGTGTTCCCACAGAAACCAACATGGAGTCAGTGTTTTCTTAAATGTGAGGATTAAAGACGTGAAGTTTGTTCCACAGCCGATGCTCTGCTGGTGATGCAGGTGAAGCTCTGAGTAACTTGGATAATGTGTGTCTCAGGTTTGGGATCCAGAGCTGGTGCTTTAGCCGGGCTGTCTGACTGGGTCAGAAACCAAATGGCTGCTTTTAGTTGATCTAAACATTGTGACAAGCTGACTGTGACGAACCCAGAGAACTGAAAGGACATGAAGAATTAGACTTTTTGCTCCTCGGACTGTAATAATCATACCTTTACTCCATCTGTTTTAGGTTGTTGGTGGAGTGCAGGTATGTGCCAGGAACCGTTCTGAGTGTGGGCTACGTGGTAAAAACTCCCACCTTTGGTCCTGAAATTCATACTCAGGGGGTGTTTGGTGTTCAGCTTAGGATTGCCAAAGGTACACAATCCTATCTTTTCACCAATACAAACTGTTTTTACACATAAATGAATATATAGTTGCTTTTTGAACACTTGACTGTTCGCAAACTTAATAACATGACCATCTAATATCAGATGCCGAGTACAGCAGCTATTACCCACAGTATCACCAGCCCCTGCACATGCTGCTGGGGAAACCCCTCCACCTCGAAGTGCGGCTCCTCAACTCCCCCGACCCCAGTTTGGTGTTGCTGGTGCATTTTTGTGTGGCCTACCCCCGCTCTGGGAAAGCTGTGTGGGTGTTGCTTTACAACGGGTATGTCAGAACATCAGAGGGGAAGGAACAATCGTAAGGACCCAGAAACAACCCAAGAATGGGAAAATCTGTTTTGATGTATCCTTTTTACTTTTCTTGATCCGTAGATGCCCCAATCCTTTAGACCCGGCTCCGCCTCAGACGGTGATGAGTGATCCGAAACCACCTTCTCCACGGAGTCAGACCCGCCGATTCACCATTAGCACCTTCCAGTTCCTTCCTGATGGTGAGCTGAAGGACATGGATGAAGAGGTAAAGCTGAGCAATGAGCTGCAGAAATGACGTATGAAGATGCATTAACTGTGTTTACAAATCCAGTTACTAGGGGCTGGAATTAGGGATGCACAGATACCAGTATCCCTAGCTGGAGTAGGCTTAATGGGTGTGTAGAACATTCTAGATCAATGATTCCTACCAGGGGTTAATTTAGTTGGTGTGTTTCCAGCCAATTTTCTGTTGCTACCTTCATATTTAGTGAGTGAATAAAGCAATTACTCTGGCTTGGCAATAAAATTATACCTCCACTAAAACTGCTGGGTTCAGCTTAATCCGCAGGAGGAATGGTCATCAGTTGGAAGCTACGGTGGAATTTGCCGTCTTCTTATGTAAAAGCTAAATGACTCCGCTCTTCCAACAAGGATGATGAGTCTATTTTAAATCAAAATCTCATGCCTGGTGAGATGTGCCAAAAGGTCATGTTGAAAACTGCTGGTTGCCCGCAGCTGGTTTTAAATGACATGACTCGCCTCATAATGCATGAATTGTTTATTTTCCTCAGATCTACTTCATGTGTTCAACGGAAATCTGCTCTCCACACGATGGGCCCTGTGTTGAGGGATGCTTTGGTCATTGATGGTAATCAAACGGTTTTCCCCATTCCAGCCTTGACTAGTGCTTTAATAAACTCCGGTAGAAAACACTTGATAGAAACTGGAGTTGGTTGCAGCGATGATTCCATAGGACATTAAAATAGTTATTGAGGTACGAGTGAATAAAGCCAGGACGTTTCTTGTTTTTCAGTTGCAAGAAGGATGCTTGAAATCAGTCCATGACAATCTGGTAAGTTAATATCTAAAAATCCAATCCTGCCTAACTGTTGCATTTTTTAATTCTGACCCCTTTTTTTTTTTCTCCTTTGGACCAGACGCTACTCCTTTAACCACCAATAAAAGCTCTTAGTCATCTCTGGAGGCATCTGTGTTTTTGTTCTTTACCCTGCAGCTTCCAGGGCGTTGTTTCATTAACATCCGTTTTTCTCTTGCAGCCTCATCTAGGAGGTTGTTTACAGCCTAGTGGACATTAAACTTCTGAATAAGAGTGACTGTAGTGAGAGGAACGCAGAACTGTAATCTGCTCAGGCAACTCTGGTCCACGTAGTGTGGTGCACACCCTGATGCCAAATGGCACAGTGACTACTTACAACCTTCAGACAGACTGATTACTAGACTGAAGACACCTGTGATGCTAATTACAGAACACACCTTGGTTTAACATGTCCTCGTTGTCACGTTATTTCCTTCAAAGGGTGCTGGCATTTTGTCCTGGCTAGTTTATTTCTTTTGAACCACAAATCTCAATGTAATTTTATTAGTTTTCATTCGATAATTTTAGTGACGTTGTTGATGGGGACCAACGATTTCATCAAAATCTGTAGCTCAAGTATTGGATACTTGTTTTTGATTAAAGAACATTTTGAATCCAGTTGGATCCATTTAGCTGAGGATGAAGAAGGATCTGCGGGCCAGCTTATAGACAACGTTCATGTAAGTGACCTGGAGGACACAAAGTTGTAGGGGGTTGAAAAGATAAAAGAGCTTGCTGATTAAGTGCTTTATATGTCAACAATAAAACCTCTCGATACTAAAACAAACACAAAGCCAGGGAAGTGATTGAGTTTGGGGGGAAATGCTCAGGGTGTGTTTGTTTTGTAAGATGAGCTGCAGCCCAGTAGAGCAGCTGTGAACGGAGGCCTGAAACAACACCAGTGTATAATCAGCAGTCCGGTGTGGATGTGGAGAAAGCATGAATCACCCTTCAAAGTCATTAAACTATGATTCATCTCTTTTTGTGAATTAAAACCTTACATTTTTATTGCTGATCATTTTCTCTGGGACGAATCATTAATCATCTTAAGGGTACCTGAATATAAATGAGAGGTGCTGCTGATTACAGGGTTCAAGTATCATTACTTCAGTTAAGTTCTCATCAGAGCTGAAGTTGAATGCTACAATGTTTGAGTTGTAATCTCATAAGTGATTTTCGTTTCCACGCGTCCCTACAAAGAGCTTAATCATGGTGAATAGAAGAAATGTACAAAAGCTGGCAAGTTCTTGGGGATTAAATCAATCGCAATTGAATTTTTTGTGAAATGTTAGGAATGCTGAAGAAAGAGCCCCATTGGGTCTTTTTTGGCCTGTGGGACTCCAGAGGCAGCCGATCCTATACATCTAGACAAGCCAGTTGAGGTGGCTCGGGCATCTGGTCTGGATGCCTCCTGGACGCCTCCCTGGAAAGGCCCCACGTCCAAAGGAAGACCCAGGACATGCTGGAGGGATTGTGTCTCTCGTTAGGCCAGAAAACGCCTTGGTATTCCCACCGAGGAGCTGGCCTACCTGGCTGGGGAGAGGGAAGTCTGGGCATCTCTTGATAATGTTGCTGCCCCCGCAACCCGACCCTAGATAAGCGCACTAATGGATGGATGTATAAATATGATGCAATGCACACCACACGTATGGATCGTCAGTCATCACCCTCACCCTGGTGTGTCCTGAGCTATTTAGGACTAAACCCCAGCCACATTTGGTGATGATGCCACTGGCAGAACAGCAGGTGTGAGTGAGCCCTCAGAGCTGGGGCTCTCAAGAGCAGGAATTTATGAACCTCTGGAAATGACAGTGTACCATCCACCTGCCCCCCTGCACAAATGGTCAAGAAGCAGAGGTTTGACAGTTTTCAAGTCATTTGTGTTCATATAACAGCGGATCTCACCTGGTCGGCACACACGACCATTGATCGGCTAGTAACGGCACAACAAATGCCTGAGTTATGTAGTTAAAACATGGTCGTCTGTGATCTACTGCTGCTTGGGAATGGTAAAACCAGGAGAGTGGAGAGGGCAGCAAAGCATCCCATTGGCTCACCTGTTTGCTCTCCGAGACATCTACCCAGGGGTGCAGATAGGATTTTCAAACTGGGGGGGATAAAGTTCCAATGTACCCTCCCCCAAACACACACACGTGCACATACACAAACTATTGCAAGCGCCTTAACTAGAGCTCAGTCAGTTTGTGTAATTTCATCCAACGGTTTACATAAAAACTAACACTTTTAAATACGTGTTTGAAGCCATTATGCAGTGGAACACTGGCAACAAAGCTCTGCCTGATCAACACTATAAATGATAAATGATCCACACTTGTATAGCGCCTCTCAGAGTAAGGACTCCAAAGCGCTTTACACTACAGTGTATCATTCATCCATTCACACACTGATGGTGATGAGCTACGATGTAGCCACAGCTGCCCTGGGGCGCACTGACAGAGGCACTCCACCATTTAAATCAGTCATTTGTTATTCTCCCAATCAATTACTAACCAAAACCTCATGCTTTATGCAAAACAAATGATTTTCAGCATACCAATCTTTACAGAAAACAAAAGCCCTAAAGTTTTTATTTACATGTAAATATATAAAGCTCTATTTAAATTTTATATTTTACTTTTTTATGATTATGTGACACACTTGACTTCCATACAACGCATCTGGCATCTGCCTCTTTTTACGGCTTTTTTTTACATTGTCGCTACGTCTGTCACGTTAGCGGTGTTTTTACCATCATTTCTACATCCATCACGTCCCAGAGAAGGTTAAAACAACATCAAACCCAACGTTTGCAGCTTGTAAACTCCACACACCTCTCGTGCAGCACCAGATGTCTGATGCTGCAGCAGCGCCAATCTTCCCGGCTGGATGAGTGAATTTCTTTATCAGAGTCAATATTCTGCTTCATAATCAGAGTCAGTCATTACCAGACAAAGTGATCAGTCAACAAAGACCAGACCTGCCGGCAATTATACGTTTTATCTAATATTTGTGCTCTTCATGCTGCACGCATCTCCTCCACTCCCCGACTGGGAGCCTCTCGGCGGGAGGCGTTTTTCAAACTCTAAAAACTCCCAAACTTTGCTCAGCCTGAAGGTTCCACATCTCCACTATCTTCTGGTGTAAAGTAGGAACTTCATGAGGGATCATATTTGTAGATGAGACTTGTTAAAGTCAGCAATGAGGCTTTGGTGCTTATAACGAGTAAGTCCCAACACTGACAACAACGTGCTGAAACTAGAACCAACACGCATAAACAGACAGATCGGTCCCGCCTACTTACACTGTTGGTCTTTTTTAAATACGCAGTAATCGTTGCTTGCTTTTTTAGCTTATTTCTGCATCCTAGCAGCAACCACTTTACACTTTGGCGCCTCTGGAGTCGGTGTTTGTTTACATCATGCTGCATTCAATGTAATTGGAAAAAAGAAGCTTCAAGCGCTTAACCTTCTTTCTGGCCTTAGTTGGGGGGGGCGGATCGGGGTCGATCTGAATCTGGGGGGGCCAGATCCCCCCATCGTCCCCCACCCTATCTGCGTGCCTGCATCTACTATATCTATCTTCAAAACAAAGCCAACTATGCTCAAAGACCTAACATGGACTCTGTCTATTTTACCTCCTGATGAAAGATTCAGCTAACTCATAACAAAACCCAACCGACAACAGAGCAGCGTATTCCCCCAGGCTGTTTAAAGCTCCTCCACACTGTCTCTTAGGTAAACAACCCTGTCCTTAAATGAACTAAAACCACTCCTGGCTATTTATCTTTTACTGTAATTTACATCAAACTTTTGCAAATCTATTGCTGTCAACCCATACTTTATTAGTAAATAATTGCTGAGCAAAATCATTTTACTTCGGCAAATGACGGTCTAGATTCTAGGCTAGCAGATCTATGCATTTTTTAACAGAGAGAGTTAGTCCTTGTCATCTCAGATTCAGATTTCAGATTTATTGGCCAAGTAAAATTACATTTACAAGGAATTTGTCTTCGGTAGATGTTCGCTCTCTAAAACAGACAACAACCACAATAAATGAGAATAAAAATACCTAAAAACACATAAGAACATGTATACCCACACACATGTTCATTTACACACACACATATATACATATATACATACCCACACACACACGCACACACACACACATATCCATAAGCATACTGAATAAGTATTAAAAACTATAGCAAAAGGATGGTAAAAGAATCTACAGATTCAGGAGAGAAATGGCTGAAGGAAAGAAACTGTTCTTGTGTCTGGTAGTTTTTGTGTACAGTGATCTGTAGCGTCTGCCAGATGGGAGGAGATGGAAGAGAGTAGATGCAGGATGTGTGGCATCTTGGACAATATTCACTGCCTTTTTCCTGGTCCTGCTGATGTACAGTTCCTGGACAGAGGGCAGTTGGGCACCAATGATTTTTCCTGCTGTTTTAATAATACGCTGTAGTCTGCATTTGTCCATTTTTGTGGCTGACCCAAACCAGACAGTGATGGATGAGCAAAGTATGGATTCGACTGCAGCAGTGTAGAAGATGATCAGCAGCTCTTGTGGTAGGCCGTACTTCCTTAGTTGCCGTAAGAAATACATCCTCTGCTGAGCCTTTTTGACGATGGAGTTGATGTTTGTTTCCCACTTCAGATCCATGGAAACGATAGTTCCCAAGAACTTGATTGAGTCCACCATTGACACTGGGCTGCCCAGAAGAGGACATTGATTAGTTTAAAACAGGCCTGAAAGGAACTGGGTGATATGTCTTCCACCAAGGAATGACGGGCCTCTACTCGTTTTGTTATCTAATAAACAGTTGGCAGCAGATGTCGAAGGCTGACGATGCACACTGCTGGAACACGTTTGGATAATCCAAATAAAACAGGTTACAAATTGTGTTCTTGTGGCACGCTGCTGCTAATAAACATAAATTCTAAGTTTTCTGGTTTAGTTTGAGAGCCTGTTTGAAATTCAGCTAATTAAAATGAGTAAAATGTAGTCCGTATCCAAACAAATATCGTCATTAATGTGACAAATTGGTTTCAAATTAGTTAAATATGAATATTCATTGCATCTCATTTTAATTGGCTGCAACACCTTGTATCCAACAGATCTCCTTACCTCTGGTGTTACCCTTTGACCACTGGGTGTCATCCAAGCAATAAAATTGCCAGAGGAACATAAGGTTCTCCATGCTGCATGACTCACAGCTGTGCTGGTGAGGAGACCTTGGCCTGGGTAATGGTTGTGTAATGAGTTAGGCATGAAATGTTGCTGAAAAGCCCACCCTGTTAACATCCAGCCATTAGACAGTGAAGAGGAATCCATTAAAGGCTGACTTGAGGAGTAGAGGTGAGAATCTAAAGAGGAGAATATATTTTTTAGGTTTGGGGTGGACTGAGAGGAGCTAGGCAGTCTCTTAGGGCTACCCCCTCCTCCTCATAAACACACACACCTCCCCTCTGTGAGATGTATGGAAGCACTGCGGCACACTGCGTGTATTTGCAGGCTGCATGGCTGCCTGGCTCAGCGTTCAAAGGCAGAGCGGAAGATAGGAGGAGGGGAATGACTAGAGCAGGAGGGGAGGAGGGAGGACAGTTTCCTTTCTGTAACACACGCCACAGGAACACACCGCGGGGAGAGAGAGAAAAAAAACGGAGAGAGAGGGAAGAAAATCATCAAGAGTGGGAGAAGGAAACACCGCAGCCCCTCCGCGCGTCCCTCTGTCTGTCCGTGCGTCCGCGCGTCCTTTGGTTGGTTGCTTTTATTTTTTAGAGAGAAAGAAAGCGCTTTTCTCTTTTTGTCCTCCTCTGAACGCAGACTTGCGGACTAACATGAGGAGGGTTGACTTTCTGTGAGCCTCTCCGTGTCTGATAGGGAGGGAAAAGGCGACAGGGAGGACATGTTGAGGTTGCGGTAGGAGGTTGATTTAGCGCTCCTGAAACATTCGGACCTTAGAGAGAGGGGAAAAACGCGCAAACGGAAAGTGAGCGGCAGGCTGAGCTAAGGAGCCATCGCTAATATCGGTGTTTGTTTCATTGTTTTTGTTATTATCTGAAATAGCGCAGGCCTCTCAGGCAGCCCTGCAGTAAATAAATACAGGAGCCACTTAGCTTCTAATAAGCCTGCGTGAGTTTTTTTTATTTACGGTAAAAGGAAAGTGGTGTTTATGGGCTGTTTGTTTACTAGACGAATATTCTTCTCACAAACTTGGCATTTTGCGACCTTTTAATCCGACTGGCTCTAGAGGTGTAAGGGGGTTGTTACTGTAGGCGATCTTAGCCCCAGTTTAGCTGAGCAATAAGAGATAAGAAGAGTTATAAATGTTAATGTCGACCGACGTTGCATCCATCATGCTGCCTGTGTCCCGGGCCCTCCTAGACCGGGATAGGGAGCTGGAATCCATGGCCGGAGTGCACCCGAACCCGTGCAGCGCTCCTGCAGCTGTACGGGGCATGAAGCGCGGAGACCCGGAGCCCGACGGACAGACGGCGGCCGCTCTTATGGACTCCACCGGGGCAGAGTGCAAGCGTCCCCGCATCGACGGCTCTGGAGGAATCGGTGAGGTCGGACAGGTGAGGAGGGCAATCTTTAATCCGAATACAGTGATCCAGATTTAAGCTTTTTGCAATATAATTCCTGTTGGTGTGTTTTTGCCTCTTCGGTTAATCGATTAATTGATGGTTGCAGAGGCATAGTTTTGAGTTGCAGCTGCAGCAGAAGGCCCTTCGTGGACTGTGCTTTGTTCGTTAGCAGGTGTGAAGGAAATACCAACACATACCAACAGCTGCATGTGCTGCACAGACACAGAGAAGCCGTATTCATGGAGTTCCGACTGTAAGGGCCAATTCCAGTAATCCACTTATCAAAAACCTGGTGATCAGGCTTCATTCTTAAAACATCTGCTTGGTCCACCAACCCATGTGCTTCCCAAAGTCTGCACCCAACTCTGGGTAATGAATAAAGGGGACCTGATCGGATCCCCAACACATTTGAAGATAGAAATGTCTGCTAACTTTTTTGTAATAGATAGTAAATAGTACTTAATAACAGTTACGGCCATATTTCACGTTATGTGTTTTTCTTCTTTCATCAGTAATTATTTAGGTTGCAAGGTTCGATGATTAGTGGGATGAATTTTAAATAACCACTGATCTGTGATCAGTTATGTAGCCAAACCTAATGAGCCTAAAAGATGTACCGATACTGAGTTTAAGGGCCAATATGGATTTCCACGTTCTTTTCAGCTCTGCCAATACCAGTTTTGGCTGATTCTAAATTATCTAAAAAATACATTAACAGAATACATTTTAAACTGTATGATTAGGTTGAAAATTATGATTCTGGATGTAACAGGGTATCTGCGGGTCCTTAAAAAGTCTTAAAAAGTCTTAAATTTGCTTTTCCAAATTTAAGGCCTTAAAAATCCTTAAAAATTACTAATAATCCTTAAATACAGTTTCCAAAGGTCTTAAATTACCAAAGACCCAATAAACAAGATTATTTTATTTCAATTTTCATGAATTTCTAGTTAGTGTTCAGCATTTTTTGTGTATGATGTTGGCGTAAGCGGAACCGTACACATTCAGTTGGTTATGAATGGTTTTTTTTTAGATGAGCACATTAGCTGTTTAAGCTATTGGGAGATTGCACCATGGGGAAGTGCAACTTTTATGGTAACTGGATGGCTAATCCCACGTTCGCAACGTGGTTCGCACCGGTTCCAGGCAATAGCTGGAAGCTATAGTTTAAATTTTATTTAAAAAATAGCTTAAATTTGGTCAAAGTGGCCTTAAAAAGGTATTAAAAAGTCTTACATTTGGCTCCCTTAAACCTGCAGATACCCTGTGTAAAACACCAACATAGAGATTTGTGTTCATGGGAGAAAAAGTCAGAATTTATTTGTTACTGCTTGTAAATGATGCACAATTACATAATGTTTTAAATCAAATTTTGGATGAGGCTCCAGATTGGCCAGTTATGCAAACCATGGGCCAAAATCAACCACTTGCCTTTTTAAAAAAATGTCTCTCATCTTGAGGTTATTAAAAAGAATCTAGTCTTTAAAAAAGATTGAAAAATAGTTTAATGGAAGCAAAACTGTCTACATGGAAAATCTGGTATTAATTGTGAGAATTGGTGCTCAGCAATGGTTGAAAGACATTTTTAAAAGGGGACATATTATGGCTTTTTTTCTTAACTTACAATAGTTCTATGCTCAATACCAAACATGTTCATAAAGTTCTTCACACAAAATCTTGCTGACATAAAACAGTTTCAGCAGTTTTATTCTCGACAGTTTCAGTAGCTTTCAGAATGAGCCATTTCAGGGCTCTGCCACTTTAAGAAAGCAAGCTGGAGCTGGCCACGCCCACCAACCCCTCATTCAGGCTGCCATAAGCTAAGAAACTCCAAAATCAAGAGGGGCTCATAGGAGAGCTGCTACTTCTGCAGCTCTCTTTTGCACTTGCGAGGTGGTTCTATTCTGATTTCCCTGTTTGTGATGTCACAAACTAGGACTTTTTGAAATGGCTTGTTTCAGGCACATAATTCCTGAAACGAATGCAGAAAACAGATGGGAGGATTTTTGTCACATTTGGAGTGTTTATGCATTAGAGACTCACTTGGCAGCTCAAGAGGATGATGAGGTTTGTGTAAATATTTCCCCTTTAATGCTGCTTGGCAAACGTGCGTTCAGGGGCCGGAAGAAATCAAATGAGCAAATGTTTTGAGTTTCAAATTAAATTATTTTGATTAAGGTTGGGTGATAAAAGTATTTACAAGTAATTTATTCGTCAATGCAAAGAAATCACAATGGGCGATATATTCACTCAGAAGCCATTTAAAAGTTCTGTGGGGCTGACACACTGCACGAAGTGCTCAACCAATCGAAACCATTCTTACTCAGTTTGTGAAAGAAAGCCACAAGGGTTCCATGTGAGACTTTGTTGTTTTCCAAATTTCATTGGCTATTTGATGCATCAATCAATTATAAACTGCGCCATAGGTGGTTCACGCTACACACATGATAATAAAGTAGTTCTTCTGACCTCTCAGCCAATAGCTGATCATTTTGCCTCACCAAAGGGTGGGTAGTCCTTCACCTGTTGGTTCGGGAAGATGTTACTCGAAGGTTTGAAGCTAACATTTGGATGCTAATGGGGATTTTGAGAAGCACGTCTTAGGGAAATGTTTTCTTTGGTTTGTTATGATGGATTTTGACTGCAAGAGTTGTTGTGGAATAATTATTTTATTGAACTTCTGGATGTAAAATGACCGTTCTTGTTGGAGATTGCTTTATTCTGTCAATTAAATGAGGCCTTGAATGGTGAGTTAGACATTAGTTAGAATTTCCAAGTAGTTTGACAAGAGTTTACTGTGTCTACAGTTGGGGTTGAATCTTTGATTGCAATATATCACTGGAATCGCAAGAGTCATGGCTGTCAAATGATTTACAGTATGCGTAGAATGTGTTTCAAAGAAGATGCTGACTTGATTTAAATGCTTGCAATGTCCCACCTGCAAGTATTCACAGGCATAAAAAATATCGCTCATTAAAAAATAATTGGTGAAGGGCTTGGCCAGTTGCAGATCGTCGAATAATTTGTCCAATTGTCCAAGCTTCAAGTTGCTACAGTCAATCTGCAAACAAGCTAGGTTTTGAACGTAAACACAGTCATGGAACAGTCACCCCCTCCCTCCGGGTATCTTCCCTGAGATGCTTCTGCCGGAACCGGAAACCCACATTGCCAGAAGAAACTGGAAAGGTCCAAAGACTAGTCGCAGTTTTCTAGGTCCGAATGTCGTTTGTTGTTTGCAAATTCAAATGGTGTTTTTCTTTTTGGGACTCTGGTAGTTTGTCCTAAAGTTGAAGCGGTAGCAGCCGGCTGTTTCCCCTTCTCTGATATTATTAAGCGGAGAACCTCACACAACAGTGGTGTTCTGTTGCTAAATATGCGAGTGAGTAATGAGGGAAGTGTGGTGATTCGGTGAGACTAACAACCGGACGGTCCGGGTTTTTGGACAAATGCAAGAGGACCACTTTATTCTTTAAAAAAATCAATCTTCACATTAGGGCTGGACGAAATAGAAAAGTAGTATATCGATAATTTTTTTCATATTGATCGATATCGATAGTTATTGAAAAATATGTTCAAAATTGTAGACAATATATTTGACGTGTAGCCCTGGCCATTTTATTTTTGGTAATTTTATTTTTTTGACCGCCTCTTCTCGCTGCGACATCTTGCTGCCATGCTCTGTTTTGGTTTGAGAGGAGAGAGCCTGGTGACGTAGCGTGTGTCTGTGGTTTTGATTGGTTAGGAGTAAGCAGTGAGTCTAGTATGCTGCTACCTGATAGGTTATAATGAAAAAAAACGAAACTTTTTTTTATCTATGTTTATCGACCCATTTTTTTTCTATTGCACCACTTGTCTATCGATAGATATATTGAGCCCAATTCCACATTACATTTATAGTTATACTGTTAGAATGATAAGAGGCATGAACAAAGTAAGCTCATTTGTTTTCCAAATTTGCAACGGCAGCTTTAATTCTGATAACCAGATATTTTTTGAGTATCTTTCGATTATTCCATAATCCAATTTTAGTTTGTGATTAAAACTTTTTTTAGCTCCTTAGAAGTATGGTAGGAGGAGGTTTTGAAGATAAACCAAGTCTCAACTCTTATTCACTTCTTTTATTTCATCAGCCTTGCTTTGATCTAAAAGAAATCTCTTTCTCTTACTGTTGGCTCAATAAATCTGCTGTTCTTGCCCTCAACAATCCTCCTCACCCCTCCAGCCCCAAATGGTCATATCTT